GTACTAGATAACCACAAACGAATGTACTGTATTTCGAATTCGAAATCAAGCATCCAACAAGTACAAAGGAATCATCAGTTCATTCGAACACCACATACGCCACAGCTTAAATTGGAGTCTAGGTGTCTGTAATAAATTGTACATCTTCTTCTTAAATTAATCCTGTGTCTGTCCAAAATTGTGTTGGATAAAAACTCTATTATCTAGAATGCACTCATGAGTATTAGAATTAACAATCAAAATCGGAACACCCGCCTGCTTCCTGGGATTGTGTAATAAGCATGTCGGTTGAGGGAAAACCATTCACTTAATGGTTCACATATGACGGTTTGGTTATTTTACGTCACTCCATCGAGCAGTAAGAAGTGAATTTTGTGATCTGCGATCTTTCCTACGCGTTTCGCGAGGAGACGACAAAAGGCTTGGGCTTTATTGCAGCAGTGAGCGCAATACGTTCATCTGCCTGTTTATGCTTGTTGTGTCGAGCTTGTACTCCGTCAAGTACGTAGTATATCTGGTGCAGTGCACTGAAGTCTTCTGATATATAGTACGTCCTTATCACTTTTCACAGCTTAGACCTGTTCTTTTGGTTTATATAGGGGGTAGTTGTTTCAGAAGTTATAGTAGTTTCTAGTGCAGATTTAGTGGTGGCATTGAATATTTCCAATGTTTTTAAGAGGTTATCACCGGTAAAGAAACTGCTCCAGTCAGAGTGCTTTATTAGAAATCGAAAGTTTTCCCAGTTAGCGTTTGCATAGTCTCTATATTAGAAACGCGTAAGTAATGTTTTTAATTTGTTGCACATGGCAAGAATCGGAAGGGTACAAAGGACTATTTTATGATCGCTGTTGTGAAACTTTTCGCCAACCACCATTTATGTTGGTGTAACATTATGACAGAATTCCAAGTCAGGAATGTCTAAGGACTTAGTATGCTTTCAAAGCACAACGGGCCAGAATGTGTCGTTGATTAATGGTGGGAAGGCTGAAATCACCACATAAAATTTTGTCAGTGAAATCTGTGGAGATATGACTGACAAGCTTATTTTGTAAATAGTTTTTAACACTATTCTTATTTATTTCGTCAATCTTTCACTGTATGTATATTTATCATCGAATGACTACCTATTGTTTTAGTGAGTGACCATGAACACACTTTCCGTTGTGTTACGGACATAGCGTGATATGCTGTTGCTTGCTCACAAATACATTGCTATAGACACATACCTTGTTCTACTTTCGCTTGTGATTGAGCTAACTAGATTCTAAATCAAACATTGTCTGCATCTATAGACTGTGAGTCGGAATATATCATACCTAGCATTGGTTTACATTACTGGAGAGTCCAACAACCTGAACGAAATAACCGAACATTTATAATTGTGGATTTTCAGTACCAGACCCAATCTGAACACGCAGCAACTTGGTGAACTTAAGTAAAGTCCCAATTTCTCTGTTGTATTTGTAACTGTTAACATTATTATTTACTCTTTATAACTTGGTTAACATTTTCTCACGTTCATATTTGTCTGGTCCACCACAAATCAAGCGAGGCAGCCTGAGCAAATGGCTCACTTGTAAGTGTCAGGAGCTCGATATATGCATCCGATTAGTATTTTACATTCATGAGTGTGCACAGTAAACCATATCGAACCAGGAAGTTTGCTGAGGACGTGGTCGCTATGGATTTCCACTCTCAAATTTTTTCGACACATAAACAAGACAGCCACCATTCTTCCTTGTGACTCGATCACAGCGGAAGTGCTCATAGGGGCCCACCCGGAGGCATGAGTCTGTGGTATCTGAGGTCAGCCAACTTTCCGTTACCACGAGTGAGGGGTTGTTTAGAATCAATGAACTGCGTAGATGAGTCATCCCACCCCGTACAGATCGAGCGTTGATTAACATAGGTGTCAGATACAGTGAGTGTTTGTCTAGTAGAATGGCATGATGTAAACCCAGTGGGTTGTCTGTTTTGCCATGAGAAGTGAGAGTGTTGACTCCATATTGATGAGCGTTTAGTTTTTTACAAATAGCGCTAATGCGAGAAAAGTAGTAGGTTAGTTTGGTGAAAATTCGTTTAACAGTGAAAGGTAAAGTTGAATGGCTAGGTAGTGTATTCGGGGAGTGATCAGGAGTTTCAGTCAAGGAGCTCTTAAGACTAGAGATATTTATCGACGTTGAGAAAGATGTGTCACTCCCCATTAGGGATGTAGCGAACTAGAACTCAGATGGGGAAGTCCAATTGATTGTTTAGTGCACGATCACGAGATGGTTAATTCAAATATGTAAGCCATACATACATCTTCCTTTAATTGTCTGTTACAAGCTTCATCATCCATTCATTCCTGTTGTTATTTCGGTTGCTTTCACTTTCCTTCTCCCTTCTTTTCATTTTAATCTTCTAAACCTGCTCGCAGATATTCCACTTCCGACTGGTGTTACATCCTACTTATACCCAAATATAAGTAGCATACACCGCAACAATACCGCTTAAGTATGTCATCTAAGCAAAAAAAGCGTCCCTGAAAACCATTTACTTTCACTAACAAGTAATTCTTAGTGTAAATCCGGACAAATGTAATTGTTTCCGACAAGTATTAATTCATCCTATTTTACAATCACTCAACAGAAAACTTCTAGTAATGACAACTGTAGGATTTACTTCGTCCTGCAGATATTCTACCAGAACTGTAAACGCGATACTGGCGACCCCAGAGTCTACATGAAAGCTAGTCAGAACAAGGACAACTTGGCTCTGAACTTGATCTGTTTCCAAACGTAAAAAACAATCCGATTGGTACAATAATCAAGTGAATTATTATCATCAAGTGGAACGCACCGACATAACGACCAGTATTGTCTTGTAAAAATAAAAATTATGAGTCACACTAATATAATAGGATAATAATGTCCTTCAACTGGTAGATCACATGCAACAGGGATAGTCTACAGACAAAACAGACCAAATTGACGTGGTGGGCGTTTGCGCAACGACTTGATTGGTTAGCTGTGGACATGCAATCACCAAAGACTAATTACGGATTAAGTACTCTTCAAACATGTGCAAACTAATTAACCAAAGTGGTCATCCAAGTTCTTTTCTTTCCACGTTCCCAAAATGGGCATGGAATGCAAGTCATTTAAGGCTAGATTTATCATATTGCACAATGATAATTATGCTTTACAAATATAGTTACAATATGCCATTTAAAACCTACATGGTATAAACTACCATGACATTTTTCTCAGTAGTTACCGACTGGGATTAATTTCTAGACAAGTTTATTTCATTGTTTTACTTGGTCAATCTAACTTGCTGGACTCAGGTTCACAGTATACCTCGTTAATTAAATTAAATATCCTAATGCAATAATAGTAGTCACCAAAAGATGACATGGAAACTAGATACTGTAGTAGAATTAAAAAATACATCTTGAAGTCAATGAGGGAACATGACTTTACTTATGTTTTTGACCCACTCATAATTATCCTCAATCACCTAATCTTTCTCCCATTACTCAGTTGTAGAGTGTAGATAAAACTTAAGGGATACTATTGATTCCAGCTAAATTAATGCGCACACACTCCATTTTTGAGATTACATCAAAGAATGGTTTTGATAAGATATATGGAGAACTTTTCTTGCCACTTCTACCACATCCAAATCAACTTCGTTGCTTTAAAAACCTAGATGTTAACCAGAACATTCTCTGAGATAACGCAAAGCATTGCAAGCTATCATTCAAGAATTGTTATCTTTACCAGATGGCTAAAGGTATCATTGAGTGGAATTTCAAGATTATCTATAAATCTTATCTTTGTAAATATAACCTAAATTACGAATGCCGGGAACAGATCCGAGAGACAATAACAAAAACGCCTAAGCTCCACAGTTTGAGAAAATTCGACGTATTTGACAGGAAATTCTGTCATTAAATGAAATTATACAGGACAAAGCCATATTGAACAAAATAGAATTTCGCACTGTTTTACCGTACTCGGTCATTCGAATTTTTAACTACTCTATATTCACACAACAATATTATTATTATCTTAGTTGACAAAAATATTTTTTTCTTTGCATTTTCAACTTTGCAATAGTACTATTATCTTATTGTGACTGAACAATTTACTGACCTATATTGAATGACCTTTCTAATTTGCAAATATTACAATTTTTTGAAGTATATATATGTCGTAACAGATACAAACGTTCACCATTTTTAACACATAACATTGTCAAATTTATTAATACATGCCTTATTTTTGGCCTTTGTAAAATATTATAATTATGGACTTATAACTGTAGAGCCTGATGATGAAGTTATTGAAAACAATTGTTCGCTCAAATATTCTTCGTTTTTGAATACTCTATTGAGTTCAATTGTGCACTTGTCAATAATAAAAAAACTGACTGATTTGTATGTAAATAATCTTGTACTGAAATTTAATATATTCCATCATAGAGAAATAATTTCATCTCATAATCATATATAATACTTGGATACATCGAGTAATTCAATTTAAACATCATTCAGTAAGGGACCTCATTTCGCTTACCAACTGACAATATAATCACCTTTTCATTGGTTCATCCATTAGGATTGAAAGCTAGTTCAGTGTATTCAAATAGAGAAGATTAAAATTGAATTTTTGGACAAATTTATATCCAAAGATGTTTCCAACCAAAGTTTATTGAAGTTTAACAAATACTCCATTTTAAAACTATAAATCTTGTATTTTGCAAACCAAACAGGGCATTCTTCATCAATAATCGCCATCATATTTGTGTATAGATCTGGATACTTCTTGGGTGCTCAAACTATGGTAAATAGTCTTCTTATACGAACACTTCTGGAACCTTTGGCAAACAGGTCTAGTACGAAAGGCAGTGAAGAAACGTCAGATGCATTCACGTGGTAGTCGATAGTCGAAACAGCCTTGTATGTTATTTGTTTCATCAGATACTTTAGTTTGAATTGGGGTTTTAAAACTCCCTTACATGAACTTTCCGTGACCACCAAATCGGCTGCATACCTGAACTTCCAAACAGAAGAATCTATCATTATGTTGAAAGCTATTTTTATCATTTGGCATGAGTTTTATTTTTATCCACATTCAGATAACAATACACTGCCATGTATCTCACTAACTCAAGTTTATTAGTGTTATGACACAGGGCTTAGTAAACTTCATAATTTATTCAAACTTTAATTCGCTTATTTACATCTTAAATCAAATAATTTCAGTATTTGCAACAAAATGCATTGAGTAAAAAAGATGTCAGTCTATTTAAAAGCTTATAATTTAGTCGTAGTTAACTAAAGATTGAGTGTTGCACTCTGTGGATAAGGTACATATACAAAATAGTAAGCAAACGTTAAACGAATTACTTCGATTTAAATGAATTGTTTTGAAAATTAACAGAAAAAGAAACGAATTTCCAAAAGAAGTAAAGAATATCATACTGACAGTCTACTGTAATATGATACAAATGATATGACATGCATTCTCAATATAATTGGGAGGTGAATTTTTAACAAAGGAAACAATAAGTAAGACTTTGTTTATTTAGTTTCAGAACATCTGTAATTTTTATTAATTAAAATTAACAATCAGAATAATTCTTATAATCATGCCTCTAACAGATTGCTCCTCTGAATCTATTCACCAAACTCTTGTGTCCTAGTTGGTAAAGTTCACTTATTATCATTAATTGAACCTATTTGTGTCTCCTTGATTGAAAAAGTCTCCGTAATTTGTTAAACGTTATTAATCGGTTATCTTATAACAAAAGAATCCATCGGATTGATGACTGTTACAGTAAGAATCGATATAACTCAAACCGTAAATTGACAGAATCGAACATCAATTTAAAAATATAATCATGATAGGAAACAGCTATTTAAATGGCTAGAAGGGTGAAGATCCTGACACAATTCATTTTTATTTAACTCGAATACTGTCTTGTTTTTCCTATCTTTCGGCTTTTTCAAAGTCTTCATATACAACCATGTGCAGTCATGTGGAATCACGTGATGGCTAAAGCTGGAATACTTAAGCTGACAGAACGAAAAAAGCAATTACAAGATTAAATCCGACCCATATACCACTAAAGTTAATAATCGTGTACTCGATTTTGACCAACTACAAGTGTAATGTCTAATGATAGCATTTCGATCTTCGAACTGGCGCAAGTATCTTCAGTCCAGACATTGAGCACTTGTTGAAAATCACAACCCATCGCCCTACAATTCGAACGCATAGAGTTCCCCACACAAATGCAATCGTAGTGCAGTGAACAGAAGCACAGCAGTTAGCATACACTGAAAGAGATTAGCTAGGTTGTGGTACAATCGTATGTACAATATTTTTCAGTCTCATAGTAAGGTTGTGTTGAAAAACACTAAAAGTATCATTACTAATAGCATGATTTGATCGGAATTTAGATCACGCGACGGACTTTACTAAACCTTAACCTTTGAGATAACATGTATTAATTTTATTGAAATAAAGATTATTGGTTCGACTGAAGCAGGTTTTGGATTTCTTAAATGAATAAAATGCAGAGCAGTAGGTACAATGTGGTGATACGGTGTAACAGAGTGAGAACTACTAACGAGAATGGAAAACTAAGTTTAAAAAAGAACTATAAATGAGCTGATATCAAAAACAAGACTATTAGCCAAGGAAATAGCTTTTTAGAACATGTTTATATGCAAATTATTGATAAAAAGTAAACGTCATTGGATGATCTAAAGGATCGGGGAAAATCAGTTTTGTGGGTCATCCACTCTCTACTGAATTAAAAACTGCGTTAAGCTTAATTCATTCCCACAATATGACCTCCAGAACAGAACGTCATGTGACCCTTTGTCATAGTACTGGGAAAACGGTGATTCTTTTGCATTGTTTTATGAATTATCCAACTTTAATGAAGATCATGTTTCTGTTCCGTATACAAATAGGAACCTTATAATTGATATGAAATTCAAGACAACTCTCTTTTATTGCCTGATTATCGAGGCGGGATAAATTTTTAATTTCACCTCCTTCCTGTTTAAGATGAGATCGTTGATCACATCATTCGATCTGTAACAGTGTGAACACTCAGATTGTTTATCCTGTGACTGGGGACATCTATGACTCTTGTGTAATTGCTTAATGCACGGCTTATGCGTAATAATACGGTGCATATCTTGTAGACTTGGTTAATATTGCGACAACATTATTGAAGTTTTTGAGCTTGAAGTTGAAGAATTTTCAAGAAATTATGACTTCAATGGCGTTGTGATAGACACTACCCAAAAAATTGCTTTGAAGTAGTATGCAGCGGAGCGTCGAATGGGAGTTGCTGAAATCGACAGCCGAAGACAGGAGTACAAGGAAGCCAAAAGCACGGCGAGTTCGGATTACTTGAAGCCAGAAGGGAAACTATAGAAGACAGTCGACAACCAGCTTAGGGTGCGGAACACAATAGATCCAAATGGAAGACTGAAGAATAAGTGTACATATTTCATAAGCAACCTCTGTACCTTTTAAATAGGTAAGTATGAATTCCTTCTGGAAATGGCGTATTCGTACTTTACGCTATAACTGATTTCGAACTGCCAGAAAATTCACAACTATCTACAGCCTTTATCGTAGCATAACTTGGAACCACTGCACCACTGGATGGAGTGACGCTTTCATCCATGATCCATCCTTTCTGAATGGCATTTGACTTTGAATTAACACTGTGAATGCCCAGATTTCGATTAATTTACAAGTATTCTGATAAGTCCATTTTTTAATTGCATTATGTGAATTAATAACGACTTGCACTCATTTAAAGTAATGGACATCTTAAAAAACGACTTTTATCCCTATTTTCATTGTTATAGTAGAGGATTCGGTAAACGAACAGTTTGTAAATCCTAACAATCAAATCCCAGTATTCACTGTTCTGGATGTAGACTTGATGATTTAGTGAACGGACGAGTTTTAGATTGTTAAAATAAGTGAATAAAATGCAGACAGAGTGATATACGGAATGCCTATCACATCAAGAGTTTTATTAGAACTATTACCACCCAAAATAGGAAATAACAAAATAGAAAAATACTACAGAAGACACATTATACCTTGTTATATTTACACTGAATCCAAATTCTGTACATCTTTAACTTCTTTTTGCGATTTACGATTAATCTGCGATCAACCTTGTTCTGAATCTTTTCTAGACCAACGTCCGTAAATAATTTGTGTAATTCATCTGCATGAAAATCAAAACATAATCTGTTGGGATTTCCCAAACTAACCTTGAGTGAAAAAGTAAACTCTTGTCCCATCTGATCTCATATAAAAATTGTCTTTTAAACACTGGCCATTTTTAAATCTTAGCTGAGCTAAATCAAACCTTCCATAATCTCGAAACAATAGCACACCTCCGGGTTTTAAATACGTAACAAGATTTTTAAGTGTACGGTGAAACCTAAAAATTATTTGCGATCAAGGTAGAAATATTTACAATTCAGGATTAACTGCTGATAATACGAACACTAAGACTAGAAAATCCAAACTATTTCTAGGACAAGGGATTTCATCATTAGTTTTGGTTATATCATGCTGGAAAGTAATACAACGATCAGCGTCATATCCTTTGGATTCCTTAATTATAATAGTTACATCAAACATGAACTTACTTTGAGTATAGATAGAGCCTTTTCAGAGAAATCTGATGCATATATCAACAGTCCAGGACTCCTAAACTGACTATAGACATTTTAATATCGTATACTTTACAGCGCGTAATATTGGAAATATTGTATTCCCCACACCACAACCGACCTCCATTATGTGCACACTAGGTGCTAAAAAAAATTAAAAAGGGCCAAAACTCACACGTTGAAGAAAATAATTCACAGAACTCTTTTTCTAACCAATTTCTGTCCTTGAAAAACCTATCTTCATGATGGGAATAAAACTTGTCCCAGTATTCATGTGCAAGGATCTCAATTCTTTCTAAAGATTAAAAATAAGCAATAGCTTGAAAAAACCTTGAGAATCATCTGGGAGTCTAACAGTACTATTCAAAAGTATTATTTCTTTTGCTAAATTTTCCTGCTCTTCTGTCCACTGAACGTCATCCCTAGAGAAAAAGTTGGGTTATTCATCCTAATTTTTACCAAGCATTCCACTCATAAACATCAGAAGCATCTGTAAGATATCGGCGTCCAAATATATCGTCACAATCTTCGGAAGCCATTTATAATAATCTGGAATATAATAATGACAACATTAGGAAGAAAGAAACGAAAACAGAAACGTGAAGAAAGCTGGTAGAGTGTGTAGTAACAAGTTGCTCAACAGTTGTGAAAACATAAAGAACGAGTTCATTTGCACCATTGAAAACAACCTTTAGCCACATCACCTCACATTTACGACAACGAGCAGGTGCTTTAGAGGTCACTTATAAAGTGGATTATATTTGCTGCGAAAACTAAGGGCAAGCAGCTTTGTGGGCTGATGTTATGTACTGGTTTGGCTCTGTGGTTTTTTCCAACCTACTCTTATAAAAGCTACCATCGCATTTCAAGCAAAGTGGCAAAATATTACCCACCCGCTTCCGTAAACAGTTTAAAACCTCAACTCCACAAGTAATATCATGATTGCTCACTTGATAGCTCCAACATAATAAGCGACTTTTGACGAATTTTAACTATCCACACGAGGCTTTCATAAATCACACTAGGTTCTCTCCCTTCTAGCAATGGGAGAAGTTACTGGACTAAAATATAAGGTAGGTAACCATTATATCTAGCAATGTACAGATTCATGTTTCGGACCATGTTTACTATGCAACGGCTAATGATACCACTGGGTTGCACATACAGAATTAGATTAAGTCGAACCTGTGATCTACGAGTTTAAAGTCAAACGCTTTGATCACTAAGCCACTGCTCTATTTTTAACAAGCTATTTTATACATCAGCAACTCACCAACGCGCTTGTCATAAGGTTAAAAACCGTTCGTTATAGCTCCGTACTACCACGAAACCATCTAGTTATCACTTATAATCTAATCCACTTATTTTTCGCCAAAACAAACTACACTAAATAACATAAGACGGAAGGCCCATATTTTAGGTTTTAATCAAGTTTTTACAAAGTGTTCATATGTTTGAACTGTTAGACCAGCTTATGACACAGGAAAAATTATGACGAGCCAAGTGTGCAGCGAAAAACGATAAATGAAGGTTCTAATCTGTCCAAAAGATTAAACCTGCAGTCATATGATCGAAAAGTGGTCTTCGGGATGATAATCACATCCACAAGTCAGTAACAACGTAGAACTCCGTACGTACGTACATCAGTCCGAGTTGCCATACCACATTAGCACAGAGATGCAGTGGTCGATTCAAATCCCGTAGTGGTAGAGGTAATAAGAGTATAAGCAGTAATCGGGAAAATTAGTGTTTGGAGATGTTATTCAAAGAGTATAATACAGTGAAATAAATTTAGGAAGAGAAAAAAAAAGAGGCAAGGAGGAATAAAGAGATCAGAATTTGGGAGAACACAAAGAGTGGATGCACCTGCGCCATTGCAGACGATTTTGAGCCATGTCATTCAGGGTCTCTAACCATCGGTTGCTATCGTCTCGCGGTCCCCAACCAGGTAGTCTACACCTACCGACATGACTCAGTTCACTTGTCAGTGACTTCATGGACTTGTGCCATGTTTTGGAGTTTGGCCGCCCCTAGCTTTCTTCCAACCTACTCCTATAACACTGAACATCGCACGTAGACGCAGTCGGTCGTTGGGCATACGTAACACGTGTCCAAGCCATCTCAACTGATGAAGTTTCACTACGTCATCAATTGATTTGCCATCCTTACCTAGTACCCGTTTCCTAACAACTGCATTACTTACTCGATGCTCCCACGATATACGAGCAATATTTCTAAGACACCTATGGTCAAATACTAGTAACCTACGAATATCCTCTACTCTTACCGGCCATGTCTCACTGCCATAAAGTAGGAACGTGAAAGTCAATCAACACAACATTATTTAACGAGATTACACTACCTATATGCTCAGGACCCGTTGTGTAGAAATCACTTGACTCATTTATTTTTGTAAGGTAGATCGGATGTAGTGCTAAGGAAATGCATCAGTAAATAAGACTATTAACGTGGGAATCTGTAAAAAGTGGACTTCCTCATGGTAAAATCCTCAATACTCTTCTTTCTTTACTGTATATAAATGATTTGGCAACTGCAGCAAAATTGTCTGTTTTGCTCTGCAGATGACATTAAGATTTGGAAACCCATACACAGTATGCCAGATAGAATAATATTACAGGATGACCGAAATCCACTGGTTGGACGAATGAGTAGACGGACATGAAGAGTTAATTGTAACCAGTGTCAGTCAGTCAGTAACAACGTAGAACTTCGTACGTATGTACATCAGTTCGAGTTGCCATACCACATGTAACCAGTGTGGTGATTCAAATAAATAACTGCAACGATTCATATTACTACATGATACGTGGAGTTGTGTTATGGATTATAAAGACCTAGGACTCAATGAACTAAGACCTTAAAACTACGAGTAACTACAATACTTCTGCTGCCAAAGACTTCAGGGTCTTATGAGCTACTAGTAATCCATTTTATCTCTTGGACGAAAAAACGTCTAGGGTATTATACCCGAATCTTGTGAGCCCGCATTTGAAATATGGGATCCAAGCAGAGTCCTTATTCCAAGTATGAGATGAATATGCTAGGATGAGTTTAACGGTAAATAGAACAAATAGTAAAAAGCCCCTTTAGCCCATCTTATGAAAACGTTCTGAGATGCCTCAACATTTTCCGTTATCTTACCGCAGATTACGGAGTGACCTAATACTGGCTTACCATACACTGAACGATGATTTTGGTATTGACGTCTTATCTCTTACTTTGATCTACGACCGATCATCTGAGAGAAAATTCTGAGGTTCAATACCGATACCAAATCGCTTACGTCTACAATTCCGTTCCTTGCACCGAGCAGTAAGTTACTGGATTTTTTTACTAGAACGCGTAACATCAGTACCCTTTGTCAATACATTCAAAGTGATACTGGATTCTCCACAGTATTAAAGATTGCAAGGATTAACGTAAGTCGATTGGCCTATCTTTATTACTGACATGTATTTGTCCCATGGGACTCCTGTAAGGTTTCTCACAAGGTCTTGTTTACGAACGGTGGGATAATCCCGTCACCTAATCGTATTATACAATGGAATAGAATATTAATCCGTATCTAAGAATTAGGAGTGAAACAATACTATACTAAGAGACTAATCAACTAGTTAGGTAGTGGCCCATATGTCTCCAAAATTCGGATTACCATGACGGATATGTTGCAAATATTAAGAGCTGGGTTAAAAACACTTGCATACTGTCCTTGATGTGATTGTGGAACGAGTAAAAAAAATGTGGTTCTTTAATTGCCAATGAAACATCCCAATCAACCGATAAGGGGTAAATAAAGACGAACAAAGGGGAAACGCGCTAACATGTCTGCTTCCTCGCATATGTCTTCTTTCCGCCTAAACGTTTAGGCGTATAGTTAAGCGAAATTTGGACAATTTGGTGTGTATTTAGACGAAAAGTAGACAATTCAGCGACGTTTGAAACAGCGACATGAAGAGGAAAATCCGCATTATTTCCCGGACATATGTACGTACTTATCTGTTCCAGTCTTTCTTGGTTTTCTGTAACATGTAACACGTATAATCAGCAGTTATTGAAAGGCGAAAAGACCTAAAACCACAACACACACAATGTTAACCGGGAAATTCACAGTAGAGAGAGAACACGGAATGGAAACTACCAGTCCTTTACTTTGTAACACGCGTAATCAGCAGTCACTGGAAGACGGGAAGACCTAAAGCCACAACACACACAATGTTAACTGAACACTCTACACCACAGGGAGAACGAGGAATGGAGGCCAATAGACGTTTATTTTAAAATTAAAATCCGCGGGTTTTTGTACAGAAAGAGAGCTAGTTTACCAAACGGTCTTATGAGTCATCCTGTAAGTTCAGTGCGTGTAGGGCTTGCTCTTCTTCTTCTAAAGCGTTTATTCTTGCTTGCCCTGCAATAGAAGGAAAACAAAATCTATTAACAACATCATACATGATGATTTTAATCCCGTTACAACTTTGGAAATTAAAACTCGCGGGTTATGTACAGAAGGAAGAGCTATTTTACAAAAGAGTTGTAGCGGCAAATAAATCCCCAAACCAAATAGCTCTGTAAATCTTCGACATTGGATGCTGATCACATTAGTTTTAATGGACTCACCTAGCTGAAGGCGCTCGGTCATGCATTCGCAACAGATCACGAGTGGGAGCGGCGTGCTCAACAACCTCTTGCAATCGCTAGCCACATTAGATCAGACGATCCTCGATATATTGATAGCCTATCAAACATATCTTCGAACCTCCTCGCTTCTGTCTTTTGGTTTCACTTGGTGGGTACGATTCATATTAGGTGTTACTGGTTAAGGCGTTGTCAAACTCCGAATACCTGTGGCATCCTCACAGTCTTATGAGTCATCTTGTAGGTTCAGTGCATGCAGAGCTTGCTCTGCTTCTTCTTCTAAAACACTTACTCTTGGTTGCCCCGCAATAAAAAGAAAAACAGAATCTACCAACAACACCGTGTGTTATTTTAACCTCGTTACATCGCCCCCTCTCCTAGCGAGGCACTGTCCTCAGTGCCTGGTCTTGGGCAAGGGTGTGCTATTCCCCCTTCTGATGGTGCTTCATAAAATCTGGTGGCCGGCGGTGGACCTGCGAACTGAGCATCGAAGGGGACTATCATCCGATCGGGTTTTATCTGGTTGTAGTGCACAGTTATCACATCGTCTTTAGGTCGTTGTATGTTACGCAATACAAACGTGGTGGGCGATCGGATGAGGACAATTTCAAAGGGGCCTTGCCAGGGTTGATGGAATTTACTGCAACCCCTAGCGACGTCATTGGGCGGCGTAACCAGACGCGATCTCCAACCGTATACCTAGGTCCTTGTGCTTGACGATTATATATATCTTTTTGGTGTCCACTAGCCTTGCCTAAGTTAATGTTGACCAGACGGTAGGCATCAGCTAGTCGGTTGTGAAGAGTACGTATGTACGGAACATGCTCTTGTTCTTCGTAGGGCAGCAGGGGTGACTGTATCTCTACTGGTAGGCGTAGTTCATGCCCGAACAGCAAAATAGCAGGCGAGAATCCCGTGGACCCATGTACCGACGTACGATATGCTAAAAGGCATTGGGGAAGCACCTCATCCCATAACTCCGGTGACGATCTGCTGACAAACGACTGCAAGATGGCTTTAATAGTTCTGTTTGTTCTTTCTACGAGGCCGTTACCTTCTGGGTGATAGGCAGTGGTGTGTGTCTTCTTGATTCCTAATAGCCGGCATATTTCAGTAATGAGGTGGCTTTCAAAGGATGGACCTTGGTCGGAGTGGAGTGAGACAGGGGCACCATAACGGGAGACCCAGTGATCGATGAAAGCTCGGGCAACAGTAAGGGCGTCTTGCTGTGGAAGGGGTACAGCTTCGCACCATTTAGTGAAATAATCCACCATAACCAGTATGTAGCGGTTCCCGTTTTTTGTCGTAGTTAGTGGTCCCATGATGTCTATACCAACTCGCTGGTGTGGTCCTGTCGTCACCATCGGCGTCATTGGTGCACGGGGAGTCTGCTGAGGCGATTTAAAACGGCAGCACGTGTTACAATTCTTGCAAAACTGAGCAACATCTTCGTGTATGGAAGGCCACCAAAAGCGTTGACGGACAGCGTGTTCCGTTCTCCGTTCTCCCGCATGACCAAGTTCGCGGTTTACCTGTTCCACAATACTCTCTGTAGGATCCAAACCACGTTTGGACTGCTGGACAGCTGCCTGGATAAGTTCGATACGCGCCCTCGCCCGTTTGAAACCAAAACAAGGTAATTGGGTAAGATAGCGGTTCTAAACAAATATAACCACACAGCTATCCAACCAATAATTGTTTAATTGATCAAATCTAAACAATCACCACAAATAAATGTTATTCTATCCTGTCTGGATAGATCACGTACAGATTCGTTCAAAAGGTAATAATTGGTCGCTCTATAACACAGAGTGTTTTCAATTCTGGAAGAGTGCTTCAATTCACAACCAAAATGCACAATTCCAGTCAACACAGGTCAAGCAATCAAAGCAAGGATAAACCAAAATGGCTGCCGCTCAGACTTAGTATAAAGTAAAACAACATAAGTGCAGTTCGGGAAAAAACATGGGGAATTAGTGAAGGTGTAGTAAAAGCGAAAACTATAATAAAATACAAATATTAACAATTCAAA